ATCCTTTTAATGTTAACATTAGGTAATCAGGGTCTTGTTTTCTTCCTATTTACAACTTATCACTCTTTCATATTGCCACAACATATGATCTTATGAATGCTATATGTGATTAATATGGTTTAATTCAGCAATTAATTAAGAAATACCTTTCCATAGCTTTTTTTTCTCAAGTTATTTCAGTTTCTTTTTTTTATATCAATGAGTGTTATACTAAATCATAGGCATTTTAATCCTCATATCTATTTTCTTAAATGATATACATTAAGGCATTAGAGGGATTTTATTTAGAAATCATTAAATCATCATTTAAAATTCAAGGATTAATTACCTTATAATATTTCTTTTTTTAGAAATATTTCTTAATTTATTTTTGATTTAAATTTGAAATAATTTCATAAAATTTAAAATCATTCAATTTATATAAATAAACTAGTTTCATAAAAATTTATCGATAATCTTTTTAGTATTTTCAAATCTTTTATATAAGTTATAAAAAGGATCCAATTCTTGTGAAAATAATTTAAATTATTGTTTTGTAATAATTCTGATTTCAATATTTAGATAATTAAATTTTTTTATTTTTAGACACAAAATCTGATAATGTCTCTGTTTATTGCAATTAACAACTCTGTTTAATTTTAATAGGCAATAATAATAACAAACCTAATTTTTTATTTGTGATTTTTATAATAAAATATGAATTAATTTATAATTTATATAAAATAATAGAAATAAATAATTTTAATTAAGAAACATGGTATTTAAGTTTGTGTCAAATGCTAATTTAACCAAAAATCTGCCTTATGTTCCTATTATGGTTTTTTAAGAAAAGCAGACTGGATGCTAAAATTTTTTAAATATAGATAGCCATAATTAATTATGTTGATTATGTCTGAGGTTCTGAAGATATAAGAGAAAAAATGATAACATAATGAAGTAAAGATTATAAACATAAATCCTTCCGAATTTTCTACTATCACTACAGACATTATTTATTTTACAAGAACTGCTAAAAAACCTTAAAATAGAAATTTTGTTAAGAGGATGATCACATATACTCAATTACTTATTTGATCCAACTACCAAGGCGAAGGTGCCCAAGAATAGTGGAATATTTGACAATCTAACAAATACAGAATGATTGGACAATTATTTCTGCTGTTAAATTGGATGAAGGTTCAAGATCAAATTCAATACAGCACTTTCAAATTTTGTAAAATATGGAAAAATGATAACTAAGTTTAAAATTAAAAAGATCTAATCATAATTAAGGAAAATAATAATCTTTAGTGCTGATTAATTATAAACTTTTTTTTTTAATTTTTATTACAAAAACTAACCAGCATTATTTAAAATTGTAAGTTTTATTTAAAAAAAAAAACATAATATACTATTATGAACCTTTACCCTCAAATCCAAATTAGAGGAGAGCTTAAAATTTACCAAAATTTGAAGTAATTGGAAAGAACACTAATCATGATTTTAAATGAATAAGAAAATACTTTTATATAATCCTTTATTAAACAAAAACAAAATATTTCAGTTGGATTAATCATTAAATTATACAGTATTCAAAATTAAAGATTATGATTTATACAAATCATAATAATGACTGGGCTAATACTAAATTAAACTTGATCAGCCAAAATATTATGACTATTTTAAAGAATCAGAATAACTCATTTTTAAATCTTATTTTTCTTATACTAAAATCAAACTACTATTATAAAGAAAAGATTTAAATTAAATTTTGTACTTAATTTTTTTGATTTTTATTTTAGTTTATAAGTTTATTTCAACTTATTATTTTATTTTTAATTGATGAACATGCCATCGAATTAAATCTGATCTTTGAGCAGAAGAGTTGAATTACTAATTCAATTAGTCATTGAACTTATTAAAGAAAAAATAATATAATAAAAAGTAAAAATTATACTTATTAGGACTTATGATGTAAGTGATATCTTTTGAGATTTTAGTTTATGACAAATCAATAAATTGAATTTATTGTTTTGGGTTTTATTTAATTTTTATACGTTATCTATCATAAATCAAAAGTAACTGAAAAATTTTTTTTGTTCTTTTAATGCCTAAAAGGAACACAATTAAACTATTTAGGATGAAGATATGACTTGTAAATATTATTTTTAGGTGATATGAAAAAAAAAATTTTAGAAATTTTAGCTAGATTCTAAATCTTTGTTTATTAGGAGACAATATGACTGTTTTTATTATAAATACTATACTAAAAGAGTTTTGGTTACAATATGATAAATGAATAGGCACAATTATCATATGCGATAAAAATTACATAATTTAATAAAAAAATCTCTAATTGTATCATTCAGTCCTTCAAATTTGCTTATCAATAAATGAATAGATATAACTATCTTAACTACCAGATGCTTATATAGTCCTTACTATAAGCCACTTTATTTATTATTATCTTCTTTTAATGATATAGTAAAAAGAAAGAAGAAAGACATATCTTCATAATTAGATGCTACTATTAAGAACACCTCCTCCAAAATTTTTCTTTATGCTTCATTATTGTCAGTTGCTCTATAAAATCAAATTTTCTGGTAATCTTGCCTCAGTCAATTTAAACTTCTATAAACAAAATTGATTCTATTCCTATCAAACTTATTTTTAAATAGGAAAAAATATTTAATATTTTTGTTGGGTTTACCTCAAGAAAACTGGCAAGGTTGTTTTGAAATATCAATATCTTTCCCTTAAAATATATATGAAATTTCCTAATTGGTTTTTAAATTCGTCTATTAATGAAATTCATTGAATTAGAATCAGAGATTAATATTATACTTTCCATAATTCAAAGTCAGAATAATATTCTTTAACAGATATGGTATTAAATATTAAGGAAATTAAAAACTACCCAATATTCTCTTGATTTGAAATTATTTAGATTTTATGCTAAGTTATCTTAAAATAAAAAATAAAAAATATATATTACTAATACTAGAGCATCCAATAGTTTTTAATATTATATAATTTTTATACTTTTAACATATAGATTACTTGCATCATCTATATGTTTTGTGCAATTAATATCTTAATTTCAATATATGATGATAAGTAAGAAAATGATTTTCATTCTTTTTTATCAAAATATTACAGTTGAAATTTAAATAACATCTGATTGATAGTGGCTTTATTTTCGAAGATTCGATCTCATAAAATTAATAAAGTTTAAGCAAATCATTTTGTCAATACGATAGAATAGCATAAGTTAAATCTAGAATATGTTTAAGATTCAAAACAAATTTAGTCTACATGATACATAATATTTGTAAATTACCATTTAAATTAAGCCCTAAAATTAATGGATTAGTATTATCAATAAACTATTCTTTACTATTACAAGTGTCGTAGTCTATAAATAAATTGATTTACTTTTCTAAGTGATCTCTATTTTCAACTAAAATTTATTTTTTTCAATAAATTTATTTCCTTCATATTTGTACTAATGATTATTATTCATAGCCGTTTTTTAAAAATAAATTGGACATTGTTATTATTATTATTAATGGATAAAAATTGCGTAAAGCATGGAAAAAGAGTCGTAATAGTGGATAGATCATCAAAAGATCTTTAAGGTAGAAATCTTTGCATTTAATGTTTAACTGAATAAAAAAATAATTTAATAAGTTATGAAGATGTCCAATAGGAACTTCATGAATTAAAAGCGTAATTAATTAAGGAAAAATATGATCTAAATAAAAAGAACATAGATCTCCTAGATGATCTTAAAAATAACTTATGGTAGTTGAAGTCACAAATTTCAGCCCTAATTGATAAACATCTAGAATGCTTTGAATAACAAATTTAATTAATATCAGATTCTTAAAATAAATTTGGGAAATAGATTGAAAGCTTAGAAACAAAAGATCTTGACTCATTTGTCAAATAATACTCAGAAATAGAAAAGCAATTTATCAATTATTAAGACATCAAAGATCTTCTTTTAAAAAATCTTTCTTCCCTTTCAAATGATTAACTTATCTAAAGATTTGCAGAAATATTATCTAAAATTAATACTGGAATGCTGAATTACTCGAATGAAGTCATGAGTAATTTTAAATAATAGTTCACTCTTTTATAAGCGAATAATGCATCAAGCATCAATTTAACTTGTAAATAGCATAATGGTTGTTAAATTATAATGGTGGACCTTAATGAAATATAAAAAGCTCCAAGTAGATTAATTTGTGTGAAATGTATGAGCGCTTATCCAGCTAAATATGAAACAATTGATGAATTTAAAGAGTAATGGTAAAATTATTTATAAGAAAAATAAAATTACTGTAGCAATTATATAGAAAAAGTTGAAAGCAAAACGAAAGAACTAAATTTATTATTCTCTGATATTTAATTAAAGATAGCCAATTAAATAACAAAAAGCACCAATCAACTAAATGAGAGATCTAATGATTTATTAAATATCTTTTAAAAGTAGTGGTAATAAGACAAAAATTAAAATTTCTCATTAAAAAATTTCAATGAATTTGAAGACATTGTAAAATAAATGAGCGGCTCATAAAATATATAGCATCTTATAAGCTGCTTAGAAAGTAACTGCGATGAATGGAATAAGTTGTACTTATAATAAATATCTGAAATTCAACAAACATTAGAGATTTGTACAGAAAATTTAAAGAATAGCATAAATATTAAATTAAATGCAGGGAAAGATATTTATTAAGAAACAAAATCTTTACTAAATTCATAAGTAGATAAATAATTTACATATGAACTTATAAAAGAGAGTTCAATAAAATAAGATTAATTTTGCGGTGCAATGTCCTTTAATAAGGATTGCTCAATCGTGATTGTTGGATGTGAGAATTAAATAAAGGTATTTGAGTTTACTAAAGGAAGGATGAATTAAATTCAACTTCTTAGTGAACATAATATGTCTGTTGTTAATTTAAAATTTATGAAAAAATCTGATTAATTTATTTCTGGAAGTGAAAGGGATGGATAGATTATAATTTGGTCGATGAATCCAAATAAAAAATGGATTTACTAATAAAAAATAAATGCACACACAAAATGTATTGAATGTATCTTATTGAACAACAATGAAGATTTAATTATATCAAGTAGTAGAGATGGAACAATTAAATTTTGGATCAAATAGAGTGAATGGGCATGCCAATAAACTATTGCTGGTCATGAAGGTTATGTTTATTCATTAAGTTTAAATGAATAATAAAATAGATTAATTTCTTGCAGTAAAGACAAATCAATATTAGTAATAGATTTATAATAATAAGATAACAAGTGGATTATAAAATAGAAAATAAATTTAGATAAGTATGGTTATAGATTATGTTTTATTGATGATAACTTATTCACTTTTTAGCCATATTAATAAGAATAATTGAACATTTATGAGTTGAATAGTACAAATGGATAATATGTAAAAACTAAAGTTGTTCAAGTTAAGTGTGGTTAAGATGATGGTTATACTCTATTTCCTTAATAATATATAAAGTAAAAAAGTTTACTTGTAAATAAGAATGGTTAAAATATTAATTTAATAAAAATCAAATAAAATGAACAATTTCTAACTAAGCAAATTATTCAATTTCAAAGTTCTTATTTATATGGATGCATGAGTGATGATGCAGAGTATTTAATAACTTGGGATTAGATATCAAATGAAATTTAAATAAGATAATATAATCAGAAATGAATTTACAACACTATAGGTTTTTTATTAATTTAAATTATTATTTTTATTTATTCAAATTAAAATGATAGTGATTGTCTTCTTAGGGACTTAAATATATTTGACTTTGTTTGATGTTCATTCATTTAATTAAAAAAGTCATTATTATTTTTAAATCTTTTTTAGATATTAATTTATGATGAAGAGTACATAGATTCTAGGTCACTATAAGTTCTAAAATGGTTAAATAATAATTTGATGAATAAAGCAACTGAAAATCAACATCTTAGGGTTTAAATAAGAATTTGATTATTCAGATAATTTTAATTTGATATATATATGACTTTTATACCTATTAAAATTATTGAAGCATTTTATTAACTTAATGGATTTTAGTATAAAAAATTATAGAGTTTAATTTAAAATGATCATGTCAATTTTATGGATAGTATTAAATAATTTCTGAAATTCTTACCAATAATACAATTTTTAAATATTATAATTCTTAGTTAAATAGAATTAGAAATTATTTCTTAATAAACACATCATATTATAATCCCTAAGTATTACAATCAAATAAAATTATATAGTTGGACTGGTGATCAAATGGAGGTTAAAGTTGATAATCTTTTAGTTTTTACTGGATATCACAATTCTTATTCCACTTAACCTAGTATTTGTGAAACTTCAGGTCCTTGTTGTGGTGATGGAGTAAATTTGGTAAATATAAATATGACTCATGTTCATTAAATTGCTTTAATAATAATTATTTCATATGATAGCTTTTGGATTATATCAGAATTTTAAGTATGAATACCTGATTTTATAAATAATTGCAATCAAGGTTGTAGTGATTGTATTAGAGGGATTTGTATTGAGTGTTAGAAAGGATAAGAATAGGATATTTTATCAAAATCCTGTTTTTCTATTTGTGGAGATTAAATAATTTAATATATTGAATCATGCAATTATGGGAATTAATTAGAATATGATGGTTGTTTAATTGCAAATTATCTTGATCATTATATTGCAAATAATGCGAATTTGTTGAATGCTTAAGATATCAATCAAATTACAATTTAATTGATAAAAGTTACGAAACAATAAATGGAAATTAAGATTTGAAATCATAAGACAAATTATCTATTAAGATTTCTTGTGATTTAGATCATCCCAATTATGGCAAGATGATAAAATGAAATAATGAAAAACATTTTTTACTGTAATATCATAAATTATTACAATATTAATTTAGCAATCGTTCATCAACTCATTATTTTGATTTTGACCTACAAACACATAGAATTCTTGGATATTTTTATCATCTATGTATAATACCAATTATAGCAAATTGTCTGCATAGTTTATTTGATAGATGTTTAGAAAATATAGATGTTAAACTATATATGGGCAGGGAATAAATGAGTAAGGATTAGAAAAATGTGAAGATTCTAATGATATTTTTTATGATGGTTGTTATTAGTGCATATTTTAATATGTAATTCATTGTTACAAATTTATTCAAGGTATCTGTTTAAAAATGTTTAGAAGGATTTGATTTAATAATTGAGAGGGATGCTTTAAAATAATTTATGCAAATGAAGTTGATGATTTAGAATAAGAAGATAAAAAATCATATTGTGGGGATGAAATTAATCAAATTCAGAATAATGTGATGATGGAACTCAAAAAAATTTTGATAGTTGTTCAGAAAATTGTAAAATAGAGGAAAATTATAGTTGCAATTTTAAATAATCCAGTATCTGCTATTTAAAAACTAAATTTTCATTAGAATATTAAAATCAAACATAAGAACACTAATTTGTTTAATTGTTATTCTCTAATCAAGTAAATAGGTATAGATTACAATTTTACTTAATCAATCTAACCAAAAATAATCAATTTAAATTAAGATTGATATCAAATATCAATTTATCCAGTATGATTAGTATTAACATTTTTATTTACTTTACCAACCTAAAGTATTAAGTTAGGACTAAATTAATGTTGCAAGTAGTTTTGAAAACTTTGGAAATGTATTAATGATTGGCTTAGGAACTATTAGTATATTGATATTACTTTTTGGAGATCCATTAAGAAGGATAGAAATCTTTGACATTTTACAATTTTAAGCGTTTTTAAAATTAGAATCGTTAATAATTCATCTGTTTTTATATATTTTAAATTTCAAGTATAAAAGTATAAATTTAGTTTTTCCTTAAAATCTATATATATATTCTCATTCTTCTGACTTTGTATCATTGATAATTTTAACTTTACTTTAACAATAAATCTAATTCTAATAACCTTTAAAATAACTAATATTCTTAATACCATAATTTATGATAACTTTATTTAAAGCATAGGTTAGCTTTAGGAATATTTAGTTAATGCTGATCTGTTTATAAATTTTTCAGGGTAAATTTCCTAAGTGTACTTAATCATTTTTGTATATACTTTTATCATTTTATACAAGATCCTTTAACAATAATTGTTTAAACTCTAAAATTTTTATATATTATTAGATCAAATAAATCCAAATGCTTATAAACTTTAGAAATTAAACTATATAAATTAAATAAAAAATTCATCTATCTAAGGAAACTCTATATTATGAGAGCATTTAAACAAATTCCTTATGCAAACACCTGGGATTTTTTATTCAAAGTTATTTTATTTATTACATCAAATACTTAATCAGAATATCGACAAATCATATCTTAATGTATTTGTCTGGTTGTTTTAAGGTAGTTTTTTTTTTGTTATTATTGCATTTCAAAGGATTAAAGAAAAATCTTGATATTTCTAAACTTAGAAAGCATGAAGGCATATGCTAATTAAACAAAAAATTATTCATCTAATATCAATTGGTTTGCAAAAAAGCGATATATTGTAATGTTAGATGATAACCTTGTTGATTTTTTGATGTATTGGATTCTTATTAATGATGCAATAGACTTTAACAAAAATTGAATTAATTGGACTAATTTGGATGGTAACTCCTGTAAAGTTTTTACATTTACAAGATCAATCAATTGCTGTAAACTTTCAAATTATTCTACATATGATTCATAAATTCTTTTAGGTTTTATATAGATTGTAGTTATGATTTTGGCCTATTAGAACCTTTAATTTAACTCGGACTTAAACATCAAGTCTAAGTATTTTGAGATATTTATTAAAATATAATCATTCGTTAAAGAATTATCCTATAATGATTAATTAGAATTGTATCTTTATATATAATATCATCACTATTATAGATTAACAACAATAAAATATCAATTTCGAACTAAAACTAAATAATGAATAAAAAATAAGTGCGGTAAGGTTTTATTAATCATCTTTAAGCTGCCAAGCTTAATAAAATATGGTTTTGGAAATAATCAAGATATTTTAACTTAAAAATTTCTAATTTATAATTAAAGAACTATTATTTCTTATTAATTTATATAAAAATGAAAATTTTAATTAATTCATTAAAGAATTTATCATAACAAGATAATTTATCAAGTTATATGTTTAAATAATAACTAAAATTTCATTGAATAATTTATCTAATTAAGTCATAAATCATTAGCTTAAACTGATGTTTTTGGTCTAGTATTTTATTAATTTGAGTGTACAAAAATCTAAAAAGTAAATATTGCTTTATAAAATAAAATAATAAAAATTTTTTATTATTGAAATATGCTATGTATGTTATGATAACGCTTCATATTTTTAATAATTATTTCATTTTGCAATTCTAGTCATTTGATCCTTGTTCTAATGAAGCCAAATAATTTTTTTTAGCTTCTGATATCTTCTCTAATTCAAATAATGAATCAGCTAAATTTTAATTAAAGTCTTATTTACCTTTTAATTTTAATCTTTGAGGAGTAACTTTTATAGAAAGAGCTTTATCATAGAAAGAGATTGCATCTGTATATTTCTTTTAATGATGTAGAGCAAAACCTGAATAATAATTTAATTTACCTTTATTGCTCAATGTTATATCATTTTTAGGATTTATAGCAATAGATTTGTCATAGCATTCAATTGCTTCTTAGTATTTATTCAAATTCTTTAATGCAGATCCTAAATAATGATTTTTAACAAATAATTACCCTTATTTGACCATGTTATATCATTTTTTGGATTAATAGAAATAGCTTTGTCGTAGCATTCAATGGCTTCTTAGTATTAATTCAAATTATATAATACTTCTCCTAAATTACAATTAAATTCATAATACCTTCTTTCCTTAATTTATCAGACTCTTTAATGTTCTACTGTGTTTTTTCATCACACCCAATATCCATTTCTGTTATTTTGATCCGTTTTTAATTATCAAAATTTAATTAATCATCACTTTTAATTAAATCTGTGACTATATTCTTAATTGTATCGACTTTATTATTTAATGATATTATTTGTTTTTCTATTATAATTATTTTTATGGATACATGTTTAATTTTCTTTTTCTTTTGAGTACAAATTTTTGATTATGTTGATCTATGACTTAAAAGTCAAATAATCTTTGTTTTAAAGTTGTTCGTTCATCTGTTCTAATTTTTTTAT